TTATTAAAGCCCTTTGACATATTCTACAGAAACAGCCAAATCTACAGAAGAGTTAAAGGTCAGATGCATGGTGACGCCCTGTGTCCTCATTCAGATACCTCATTTATTAACAGGAACACATGTGAGGAAGTTGGAAGAACTGTACAGGACTCAAGAATGCTGAAAACTTAATGTGTCGAGTAAACCATAAAAGCTGGACCCTTTCTCTCTCCTTTTTCTGATCGGGTCAGAATGTGATGAGACTTTTTTGACATGACATTGTTGAAATTAATGTTTTTTGTTTAGATTGTAAAGACAGAATTTTCATTTTACAATATATGTAGAACTCATACAATTGTACATACTGTACTGTATCTCTGTACAGTTAATGTAAATTGTGTTGCATAGTTGTGTAATTTATTGTACTACAGATTTGTCTTATTAAATTTGTGTGTGGTCATTACTCAATTATTAAGCTCCGTCAGAGAATAAAAAACACGAATGCTGTGTGACGCCTGGTATTTCCATGCTCTTTTTGAATATTTGTTTATAGACCTTTATATCCAGGTAAAAATGTTATTTATGGATTCTCACCAAATCCTGATTTACGCTGTATGTATGTGGTTTCGTATCCATGTTGTGTTGGTTTAATAATCACACTGAAGAGTTTTATTGATAATTGTTCTGTCACTGTAAGAGATGGGAGTAGTTGGTGATGTCATTGTTGTGAGCCTCTTAGTCTACATTGTGTGAACTTAAGCATTGGTTAGCAGCTCAGGAAAAAAAAAATATTTGCAATTAATTCTGTGATCTGCATGTTTTTTGCATTATTCCCTATATTGGCAGTGATGACCCATGTTGGAGAGAAAAGTGAGGTCCAGGTCTTGTATTGTATTATACAGGTATGTTGCATTTTATAGAGTATATTGTGTGTGTTTTTTGCAGAGCTATAGTACAAAATGTTGAATGACAATTTATATTGGCTGTGATATTCAGCTCATTTTTGTTCATCAAACCTACAAATTAGAAAAGGGTGAAATTATCATTAATGCATGCATAATGATTTGGTTTCAGGACTCAACTTTTATGTGATTAGATAACTCCTTATCATTTTTTAGCAGTTCAGTTAGGTCCCCATTAATGTGACAGTGGGAAGAATATGTATAGAGTACTTGGTGTGACTCTCCTCACTGTGTGAATGTGTGAGGACTGAGCTAAGGAATTTACTGCAAGAATGCAGGTGGGAAGGCAGGGTGGGGGTGGATGAAAGAGAGAGAAAAAATACATAATAAAAATAAGAATTGCTTACACTTATATAGTGCTTTTCTGGACACTCCACTCAAAGCCCTTTACAGGTAATGGGGACTCCCCTCCACCACCACCAGTGTGCAGCCCCACCAGGATGATGTGACGGCAGCCATAGTGCGCCAGAACGCTCACCACACACCAGCCATCAGTGGGGAGGAGAGCAGAGTAATGTAGCCAATTCAACATAGGGAAATCCTAGGTGCAAGAATTATACATGTCCAATTTTCATATCAATACTGTCAGGCAGTATAAGCTACTTACTGTCCTCAAAAATTAACTTTTAAACTTTAATCTCTGAGATGTTTTTTTAAATCTTCCAAAAGTAAATTTTCCTGTGCAAGTCTTAAATTTCCAACAACCCCAAAACCTCATATTTCTGTAGTCTCATACTGTAGCTTTCTTTGTGCCAGTCACTTCCTTCTGGTAATCTTCACTTCCTGCTTCTTAAACTGTCACTTTACCAGAAAAATAATTTAAAAAACTGTCACTTGACCAATTGTCTTCCAACAGCTGGTCAGGTGATAGGATAGCAGGTCTTCCCCCCCCCCACAGCTTTGTGGGAAATGTAGTCCAGATGAGGAGTGCCATCTTGTCTGAGCCATCATACTTCATTCTAGCAGCACCTGCAGCCAGACTAGTGTCAAATGCATGGTTCTTCATTCCTCATGTGCTCTTAGTGTGAATTTTTAATGTGAATAATTTATATAAAACTGAAATCTACTGTAGCATTTGGTATCATAATAATGGTAATTAAAATTGCTTTTTGAATCTTTTTTTTATAAGCCTACAAAGTCGATCATGAACATCAACCCTACAAATGTCTCAGTGGAATTTACCTCACGAGGAAGGGGACTAAATTCAGCTTTCTTGCAGGCTCCAGAAATACATTACATTCTCACCAAGATGCAATTGTTCTTTTTGTCACACATAGGAAAGAACTGTTAAAAATGCTCAGAATTTTCCGTGAAGTGGAAAATAGCAGAATGAGTCATACAGTCATATGCAATGACATCGCTGTAGTAATTTGAGCATCAGGTACTTTACAATGAAGTAGTTCAAGTAAGGACAGTAGCGGCGTCAGCATGTGTAGGCCGCAAAGGAACAAGTAAAGGTTTCTTCAGTGCTGAAAAGAGAAGAAAGGAAACACATTTGGGCTGTGGAGCCTTCTTTAAACCTTTAGTTGTCCCAGGTAGTTTACAATGTTATGTTGTATATATCAACATGTTGTATGTTCCTCTGAATCTTACTAATGCAACTTGCTTTTCACTGTGGTTTCATATATTATGACAATGTTACAAGCATAACATGTCCATATACTGTAGATAGTATCAATAACTTAATGCAGATTAATTCTCTTTAGTTTTATCCAAAAGAATCTTTTGGGTCGCCAATAATTTTGACTCTTATCTTTTTGATAAATAAAATTACTTGTTAAGAAAAACTTTTTTCTCTGAGCAGTGACATTAAACTACAAGACTGTGCATTTCCCATATTTTTTAGCATAAAATGTAGCTCATTACATGTGTGGTGTATTTTACACTGCCTTTCTTGCTCATCATTATCAAGGGTGCCAATAGTTTTGGAGGTGACTTTACATAACATCTTTTAAATATAATGTCATCATTGTTTTCTAATATAGAAAACTTGCTTTATTTGACATTTTACTGTAATAAAACACACATGAATGGCATTATTCAATCAACACAAAGAATTTCAATGTCTATTTGTATATTTAGAACAATGTAATAAAAAGGTTGAAGTTAAACTAGAATTGCTTGTGAATAATATAGAAATTAAGTATAGATTTCCGGAAGTACCTCGTGGTTAGCAAATGCAGCTTTTGCTTCCTCTTCTTATCCTCTTACTGTGTGAAAGAAACGCGTACAAAAGGATGATTTCACTACCTTTAAAGGTTTTTTTGCTGTTTCTTGGTGAGTTCTTACTCTATTATCATGATAAACAAAAGTTGTATTAGTAATACTGTATATTTTCTTTAGTACCTAATTAATGATATTGTAATCACGGTGACTTATACATTTTACAGTCTCAGAAGGGGGTTGTATAGAACAATACAGGAAGAAGCCTGCAAAATTATGTTTTGAAACTCAGTTCAGCTGCGACATTTTAATGTTTTAATGTAGTAGTACAATTTTGTTTTAGAATCCAGGTTTTATCATTTTGTCTGTTTGAGCTGATGGATTAAGAACATATTTCTATTTACATGGTAGTCAATCATTTCGCAGATGTGTAATCTTTCATTTTGAGAACATTAGCTACAATGTTAATCACTTTTAAAATTCCTCTCCAATTGTGAAACACTCGTTATGGAGAAAGCAGTGGCCTTTTTGTCGAATTACAGAAACAAGTGAATGAACAATTAGCCAGGTACCATCTCTACAGTATAATGCATTTTATTGCAAAGTCTTTAAGGAATTGGCATGGATAAAACAAACCGAAAATGAGCATAAAAGCAATTTTTGGATTATTTATTAATTTGAGTTGACGATAGTGCAGTGGTTAGCATCGCCGCCTCTCATCTCTGGGGTCCTAGGTTCGATTCGTTGGGTTTCCTCTGGGTGTTCTGGATTGCTCCACAGACATACTGGTAGATTAATTGGCTTCTGGAAAATCTGGCCCTGGTGTGAGTGTCTGTGTGTGTATAGTTGTATAGGGTCTAACAGTCTCTCTTTTGTAGTTGTTACTACCTTCTATTATTTTTCTTGATATTTAAAACATTTTTTAAGAAACAAAATTAAGAAATTATTGGTTGGAATGGATATGGATTATATCTCGTTTTTGGAAGGCAACCAAACCTACCTAATTGGACTTACAATGTGTACTACGATTTGATCTTCTATCCTAATTTGATTTTTGGGATAGAAGCATTAGAAACATACCAAAGAAACTGGTGCTTTTGCCATAGAGTTTCTCCTGTGACTGGGCAGACAGGATTCCATTCTTTGTCATGGCTGCATTCTATCCCTTTAAATGATCGTACATTTCTCATAGGTTTCAAATAATTAAAGTATAAAATAATTTCGGGTATAAGATAATTTCATATCTTCTTTTGCTTATTTGCTTGCAGGCTGGGTTTATCCCAGCTGTTTTTTTCTTTAATTTAGCACCTGTATTTGTTATCTCCAATTAAAATGACTAAGGTTACACTATACAGTTGTCCATCCATCCATCAAACTCCTTTATCCAATTCAGGGTACTCTCGTATGTCAGAGCCTATTCCAGTAAGCAACAGATGCAAGTCCATCACAGGACACACACAGACACACACACTCACACCCCGGCCATTTTTCTCAGAAGCTAATTAACCTAGCAGCATGCCTCTGGGCTGTGATATGTATTTTATATAAACAAATGGTTCAGGCAAGTGGTATATTCAAAATATTCCAAAAATTACATTTACAATTTTGTATATATATATATGTTTTTTTTTGTATGATAGGAAAAAAAGTTTGGATAATGTAAAAAATATCAATTCTAACATGTTATCTTCACTTAGTGTCTTACAGCTGTGGAGAGACTCTCCCAACAGTGCATGGGATTTTGAATGGATCTGTCTATTTACCATCAGGGTTAAAGAACAGAAATGTCTCTTGGATCACTTGGAGTGCTGAAAATGACTTCATTGCCACACTTATAAATGGAAAATTGAATACTATGATTAACATTCGCTATAATAAGCGGTTACACCTTCATACCAATAATGGATCATTACAGATTAATAGATTGAAAATGGGGGATACACTGACGTATAACGTTCACATAGTCTATCAAGATAACTCACAGAATAATAATCAGGTCAAGCTTGTGGTTCATGGTATGTACTATATGATTCTAAATGTTTATGTACTTTGTGCAATATTCACCATTATCATGTACAGTATCTCAAAATATGGATAATTTAACAATGAATGAAATTATTTGATGCATTTTATTTATACAGTATCATACAATACTGTATTTGTAGTATGTTTGTATGTACTCTGGATCTGCATCCCTACAAATGAGCTCAAAATAGTTAAAAAATCTTTCCTTGTTAAAACATTATTTACTTGTAGCTGTAGTTGGGTACAGCAATCATCTCAACCACTACTGTGGCTCTCTGTTTCTGATACTTTTTAAATTCTATGTGTTGTTGCAGTAGTGGCAGTAGAGAAGGGGGATTATTACACAGCCTCATATTCGCCTCAAGTACCTGTGTTAACAGTCATCACTGTTGTTTTAGTCATAAACTAGATTTCTGAAGCATATACATTACACATTTTTATACCTACAGCATTTAAACAACAACAGATATTTCATGGTGAAACATTTAACATTTTTAATCTAATAGTCTAACTTCTTAAAGTTTTTTGGTTTAAAGTAAATAGCTTCTTAAGTTGTTGTAGTTTAAGAAGCTCAATTGCCACCAGATGTACATAGATAGAAATAAATTGCTTTCCTTTGCTGTGTAGAATAGATTGAAATATCCCTGTAAAAAGAAAATGTGGAATGACGGTCACAGGTGCTGTGATCTGAAGAAGTGATAGCTGTTGAAAGGAGAAACTCACAATCTTGATTTCTGTGTTTGTCTTACAGAAAAGATTAATAAACCGAACCTGGAGACAAGTGCTAACTTCTCCACCATAAACACCTGCAATGTCTCTGTCATTTGCTCCACCACCCAAGGATTTTCTGCTTCTTCTGACTGTGACAACAGATCAGGTGTCTTTCGATGTTCTGAATCTAATGTGACCAATTCTTCCGTCGGCATATCCATCACTATTACAACAAAAGGCAACACCATTGTGTGCAACAGCAGCAATCTGGTCAGCTGGAACACAGACAGAATTGAACAGGTCTGCCAACACAGTGATAACAGTACCGGTAAGTGGAATAAAAAGAGACTTTTATCTTACATTTACTTTATTCTATACTAAAAGATTCATGCTCAAAATAGAGTATTACTCTACAAACCTGAGGTACAGTGAAAAAGATAAGTATTGAGACAGTGAAGAGAAATTTGTCATTTTTGCTATGTAGTAAATGATTTGTATAATTTTGTATATGTTTAGCCAAGGTAGAACAATGCAACTTCTTTCGTTAAATCCCCATGTTTCACAGGTAATTTGGGGAATTTCAGTAAGTATTGGGATTAATGGGTGTTGCATTAATGTAAAATTTTAAAGGGCCTTGAATGTATAGCCTTGGTCATGGAATGTGCTTCCCGAGTTAGAAGGGATACAGTAACTCAAGAGAATTGTCTTTAATGAAAAAATAAGCACTTGTGAAGATGAACACAAAGAAAATTCCAATTAAAACCATTGCAGAGAGATTGGGAAATTTAAATGAATGACATGGAATTCTTGAAAAAGAAAGAAACTACTGGAGGAGTCAGCAATTGGCAAAGACCAGAATATCCAAAGGAGTTGATGACAGAAAAATCAATGGAGCTGTGAAGAAAAATAACATAAAATAACAGCCAACAGATTATTAAATAATAATAATTTCTTACACTTATATAGCACCTTTGTGGACACTTCAGTCAATGCACTTTACAGGTAATGGGGATCCCCTCCACCACCATCAGTGTGCAGCCCCACCTGGATGATGTGTCACACCCTCTGCAGCCAGAGGGCGGTCCTTCTCTGTCCTGTCTCTCATTTCCGGTTCTTTGCTGTCCTTCCAGTGCTTCTCTCTCTCTGGGACTATATATTTCCGGGTCTTTCATTCTGCCGGTGCTCAGCATTGACGTTCAGATGTCCTGAAACCCGCCTAGCACCAGGTCACCCTACGTCCGCTACCTGAGGGCATAGGTTTCTATACGGCATTTCCTGAACAGCTGACCTCAGGCTAACCCCCATCTCGCAGCTACGCATGGGGTCTTTTCGCTCTCCTGCCATTCTACGGTTCGTCCTTTCTGACATCCGTGGCATGATGCACCAGTACTCTCACCACACACCAGCTCTCAGTGGGGAGGAGAGCAGAGTGATGAAGCCAGTTCAGAGAGGGGGATTATTAGGAGGCCATGATTGTTAAAGACCAGGGGGAAATTTGGTCAGGACATGTAGGTAACACTCTTCCTCTTTTCGAGAAAAACCCTGGGTCTTTTAATGACCACAGAGAGTCAGGACCAGAGTCATGAGTTTTAACTCTCATCCTATGGACATCATAATTTGTACAGTATAGTTTCCCCCATCACTGTACTGGGGCATTAGGATTCACAGACTGCAGGGTGAGCGCCCCCTACTGGCCCCACTAACACCTCCCACAGCAGCAACCTTAACTTCACCAGGAGACTCCCATCCAGGTACTGACCAGCAGCAGCAGAATTCTGAATTGTACAGAAATATCTTGTGTCTTCTAAAATGACAAACCTTCAAGAGCAGCAGTTCACCTTGCAGCAAGACAATAATCCAAAACATGAGCACTTAAAGCAGATCACCAAAAAGAACCAGAGGAAACTTGTGTGCTGGCCAAGTCAATCTCCTCACTTAAATCTTATGGAGTAGGCATTTTACTTGTTGCAGAACTAAAGTAAGAACCACTCCCAAATGATAGCAGGAATTAAAAGTGGCTGCAGTTAAAGCTTGGCAAAGCAGCTCCGAACACAGATCAGAGATTATAATTCTGGTGCTGTTGATGGGTCACAGATGTGAAGCAGTCATTGTATGTAAGAGGCATGCAACCAAATACTACTGTAACTTGTTACAATACTTATGCTGAGCTGAAACTGGGAGCAGAGAGAGTTATTTAACACAAGAAAAAACATTCTATTGTTCTAACTTGGTTTAAAGAGGAACTGCAGTCCCAATGTGTCAGAATGGTCATTAAATTTCGGTAACAAAATAAATTCATTGACAGAATATATACATTTTACAATTTTGCAGCAAATATTTCAACAAAGAAATGTTCTAACGTGATTTGCTTGCAAGTTAACAAGTAGTATTTGTCTGCAAAACCATTTAAAAGTCAAGAGCAATATTTCTAGTGGATTAAAATAGTATTCCCAAGTCTGCTTGTTTACAATGTCATAGGGCTGCAAGATGTCACTGGCTGTTTTGTTGTCTCTTTCAGAATTGCAAAATATGGTGCTGTGCATACCTGGAAATTTAGTCTATTTTGTGATGTAAATTGGAGGTTTTTCAAATTACTGTGAACATTTTACTTTTATTGTGGTTTGAAATGCATTCAGCGATGGTGGTTCTTTCTAACCCCAAAATAAAAAAATAGCCTTGCAGGTCCCCTTTATGTATGCCCATAAATATCCTAAAATAAAGGCTACATTTGGTATTTATCTCTCATCTTAAATTTTGATCTTAAATACAAATTCCTAGATCATGCAGGAAAAAATATACATTTCACTTCACTGTCCCAATATTTACACTTTCCACTGTATGTGAAAGATACAATCTAGTTTGCTTTTTGATTGTTGTATTTAAATTATTCAAGATGGTGACTACCTGACATAATTTAATTATGTACTGTATATTGGGTGGCTAATTGGGGCTCCATTTACAGTGGATCTTGAACCATATAGTGTAAAGGTAGCTGGTTCCAGTCTGCATTATGTCATTAGCTGATGGGATAGGACTAGGAGAAGATCAAATTCTAATCTTGTGCTTCCTCTTCCCTTAAAAATAAATACTTCCTGGCTGCCTACAAAACTATTCACCTCTTTTCTAGCTCCCCTACCTCCACCCCAACTTCCTTACATCTTCCTCCATGGTTCATTCTTCATATTTGAGAAGGGCTTTGATAGTACTGATCTTTGGCCAACACTGTCATTTCTTCACCTACTTGGCACCAACATATGAAGTACTTTGAGATACTGTACATGCCGAGGTCTGGACAGTCAGAGAGTATTTATATGTAGGAAGTGTAATATTAGAACTTTTGATATATAACACCATTTTCTGTATTTTTAAAATTAGTTTTTCAATTCATTACTATAATCTAGTTAAGTTAAACCTGTTTTTGACGGGTGTCTTTTTCACTTTTTCACTTTTTTTTCCACCCTTTTTGATGAAAAGCTGTTTTTGACAAGTGAAATACTTGGTGTTTTAGGTAAACTGGTAATAATTGAAGATTATTAATTGCTGAACTGATTTAAGAACAAAAATTATGGCTTAATATGTTATTGTTCAACCCTCAAATAGAAGTAATTAATAACTCTATAGTACCACAATATTTAGTACTGTCAGAGTTAATTCTCTGTCTCTTTGTAGCATATCTTTATATTGCTAATCAAGGAGGACCACATGCATTTAATAACTGCCTTAGTATGGCCAACACTGTCACTCTTTTTTCATAATTTGTATCAAAGATACATTTTGAATTTTCTAATATTGTTGTATTATGCTGTACGAATCAATGATATTGAACTATGCACAAATTCCATCTACAAGAGATTTTGCTAAACTATGGAACTGTCTCTCATTGCAGAGTCTGAAGAAAAAAATGATTATAAAGATTCCCGTTCCTACATGATCCTCTTCCTCATACTCCAAGTTTTCATCATTACCTGCTTAGGTGTTTTTTTAGGTAATTAACCTTCATTAACTTAATAAACACCATGAGCTTTTATAGTGCATTGTATTTGTTATTTTTGTAGTCAACACCCTGTGTGAATATAACTTTATTTATCTCTAGTGACATCACTGATCTTGCATGCTTAGCAAGACTAGATTCTTCACTCTTATGCATATGTTTAGGAATAATTTTATCTGTTTATTGAACTGTTGTATATATTTAATGATAAATAGTATAACTATATTTTAGTCACTGTCAATGCAAGGTTTAATTTCAATGTGAAATGTAGAACTTGTATACAACATGAGCAGCACTTAAATGTACTCTTGTGAGATTTAACAAGTGGGTGTCTGAATGAAAGTAGGTTTGCATAAAGATATGTATAATGCATTGGAGTAGATAAGCAGGTATACAGAAATACATTTTAGGAATACTCAGTTTTTAGTTTGGTAAATTTGCAGAATGTATACAATACAGTATAATGCAGTACAATACAGTATCTAGGAGTTTATTATTATAACTATATATATATATTTAAATTCTAATTTGTAACTATTGTGTTTTTTACAGGCTTCCTAAGAAATAAGGTAAATTTACATGGTTTATTTCATTATTTGTATTGTATTGCAACAATTAATGTATATGTTATTAGAAAACCTGACAATAAATACATTTCTAAGCTTAATATTTTTGATGTTGTGAAACAATACTTGTTCTTCTGTTTCAAATAAATTTTTAATACATAATATTGTTGCACCATCTATGGTCCCAAAACATTGTGTATCCACTGATACATTAATATAGTACATATCATTCTTTCTCTGAAAAGGTCTTGTAACTCCGATAATGTTACCATTGCTTGCTTATTCAGTTTTTTATGTATTTGTTCCAGATATTAAACAAATCTTTATATACTTTAATGCATGGTCCTATTTAATCCTAGTAGTGAAACACTCATCAGGAGTATTTTCCTGCCTTAAAAATGTTTAAACCAGACACAGTATTTTCAGTTTTTTTCTTCTCTGTAAATTGCAGGCAAGAACCAGGAACGATTCTCTAAAACCTGAGGATGTAGTGAAACAGAACGATTCTCCAGAATCTGAGGTTGTAGTGAAACAGAA